TTTGCTGGGCTGAATGCCGTGGGTAAAGCTCATCGCGCCCGGAAATTACAAACACACTCAGTCTACTACTGCACCCCCAAAGTGCCCTCGTCATACACTCAAGTGGACATCGTGTTCATCATGAGTTGGCCACGCTGGTGGCAGGACGCACTGTTGGTGGTAGAATGTTGAAAGGGCTCGTTTGGGCGATGCAAATGTCTATGGCAGTGGTTTATTAATTTTCACTGCAGCCTGCACCCCCTTTGGTTCTCAGTCGTAAACAAAAAAATGTATAATGTTAATAAATACGTAGATTTGGTGAAACAAAGTAGTTGTAACTTACGTTCCCGTGCTTTAATCTTTTTTTATGATTTACCTTCGAAAAGAATCTGGCATGTCTCGCACCCCCAGAAGCCCAAGCTATTGATGCTTTAATATTTGCATTCCCTTTGTGTTGTTCGACGTTTGGCGTTGTCCTCTGGTCTAACACCGGTGGTGAGACAAGGCCATATGGGAGGCTGTCTCTGGTGTAGTCCAATCAGTTTCAAAGACAAGATATATATCATCGGAGCATGTTTGTTTGCTCGCATGTTTTACCACAAGCATGATGTGTGGTTAATGCAGACTTGATGCCTTGCAATAGGTGTGCTTCTATTTCGTGTGTGAACATCTTAACGTTGCCTGAAAGTGTGAAGCCTATTCCTTTACCATCGTGGTTTTCTCTCGCCCCGTACGCTGTTTGCACGCGATCATTGTTGTTCGGCGATCATCAGCCACACGTCCAAAGGGACACTGACAAAGGCGAAACGTGTCGCTTAATTAATGCACCTGGTGCGAAGGCGGGCACGTGTCTCCCACACTGCGCCACGTTCCGTTACATCTCAGTGGAAGGAGTCGACTCTCGGCGTGTACTCTGCAGGATCTTCTTGAACACCGCCAACTGAGAGTCTGAAAATAATAAAGACATTGGCTGCCGCTGCCGGGAGGAAGAAATTCAGAAGAAAATCATTTTCTTCCAGATTCAGATTTTATTTATTTCGGCAGGAAGGGCCCAACGAGCTGCCAGGCTTTATTTCAGAGGCGTCCTGCGACGGTACAGGCGTTATTATCATCATCATTTTAGTCTCACACATATGGCTGCATGTTTCGGTACAACAAAGCGAGCAGCGGCGCGTGCTTCACACGTGACGGGAATAGGGGCAACCGGTTGCAGTCGTAAAAAAACGAAATTCGGAATAATTCGGTATTGCTCGCGTGGAGGTCAACCGGGGGGAACCCGAGGTCACCATCAGCCCCGCGTTACCAGGCGGGTCACGACCTTTGCCGCTGTGTGTACGTATGTGGAACTTCTTTCGCACCGCAGTTAAGCGAAGGTAATGAGAAAAACCCAACACGCAAAAAGGCAGTTCTAAAGAAAATTTTCCTCAGTCGGCACGAGGCCTCTCATCCAGTCAACTGCAAGAAAGTTCGCCACAGCAATACCGGTACCAGATCTCGGTATAAATCAGTGGTGCTTAACTTGGGGTGCACGCATCCCCTGGGGGTGCGAGATGCCCTTTCAGGGAGTGATTTTTTTTAGAAGACAAATCATCGAAATTACAAATTAAGCATGGGCACGTAAGTACAACTACTTTGTACCAAACCGATGTATTTATAAACAATGTTTACGATTGAAAACCAAAGGGGTGCAAGGCTGCAGTAAAGGTTAAGAACCACCGGTATGATTCAATTTCTGCTACCAGACACACAGAAGCCAATTCCGGGACTATCCGGGCCAAACCTGGATTGGCGGCAGTTCTCTATATGTAAGGGTGCCACGGTGGCGAGATGTTATCTGCCTCACATGGTATGCAGGAGGTCGTGGGTTCTATCCCGACCCTGACGCCTGTTTATTTGGAATAGCGTGTCTCTCTCCCCGTGATCGCATGGGATTTTCTCCAGGTCCTCCGGTTTTTCCTTCCACGTTGAGAACCAACGTGCGTTTAGACTACACTTTGGCTGCTATAAATGTCCACGTGATGATAAGCCGCTTAGTTGAGCTGTCATTTGTGGCCAGGCCGCTTCTAATAAAGAGATATATAGCTCAGTGGGCCTTATCTGGTCAACAAAAAAGTGTCATCGTACTTAAAAGCGTCTCCGTGGCTTTCTCCCTCGGACCGTGTGAACGTGAGATGGAATAAGGAAAGTGCACGCCAAATGTGAATGGAGGCAGACCCATTAAAGTGGCGCTCACTGCCGATGATAACTTAACAGTCGGATATGCGACGTTGCACTGCATTTACCTCCACGGACTCGCGCACATGATTTGCGATCAAAGGAATGAGTACATTTGCAGTAGGGTTGCCTGTCACGTCTGTTACAGGAGTTTATCGTTGTCCCCTATCCACCCCTTAGCTCTGTGTATTGTAATTGCTGGCTGCTGCAGACGGGTCGTCGTGGCATATCAGCTGCCTTGATAGGAATTACTCAGGAGAAAGAGATGGGTGGGATGGCTGTGATGGGTGCGATGGGAGGGATGGGTGCGATGGGAAGGATTTTTTCAGTTTTTTCAGTTTTCATTTATTTGGTAAAGCCCTATGAGCCATTCGGCTCTTGAATCGGGTGCAACTGCAACAAACAAAAACCAAAAACATGAACAAGAAAACATCTTAAAGTGATCTTCTTTGGTTCTTTCGGTAAAGTCACGTAGAATGAGAATAAAATAATAAATTTATAAACTAAAATAACAATAATATTCTCACGACGTTTCGGCCACAACACAAGCGGCCTTCATCAGGTGAAGGGACGAGACAGTATCTTCATCAGGTGAAGGGACGAGACAGTCTCGTCCCTTCACCTGATGAAGGCCGCTTGTGTTGTGGCCGAAACGTCGTGAGAATATTATTGTGTTATTTTATTTTATCAATTTATTATTTTATTCTCATTCTACGTGACTTTACCGAAAGAACCAAAGAAGATGAATCATTGCAGTCACGAAAGCTTTAAATCGAAAAAAATCTTAAAGTGACTATGTGACTGTGCAAACAGAAAATCCAGGAAAAAACAGCAAAATATTTCTGAAAAAGCACCATACACCAACGCTGTGTGCAAAAATCCCAGTGGGATGCAAGTCAAACAACAACAACAACCACAAGACAACTTAGATTTAAGGTCATCAGTCTAACTCCGTACTACAACAAACAAAACATGGCCAAACCAAAAAACGCTTTCAACATCACCAAAATAAAGCCATAAAAGCAATGTAACAGTGATCATAGGAACTGTGACCGAATTTTCACAATAAACGACATAAACAACATGTAAAACCAAACCCTAGATGGGAGCGATGGGAGGGATCAAAGCGATGGGAGTGACGGGTGCGATGGGAGGAATGAGTGCGATTGGAGTGATGGGACGGATGGGTGCGATGTTAGTGATGGGTGCGATGGGTGGGATGGGTGAGATGGGCTGTTGGAAGGGTCGTTTTTGCAGCGCCGTGTCTTTCCAGCCAGCAAAGGGTTAATGCGGTTACACAACGGTTGTCATGTTGGGCGTACGGTAATGAAAATATCCGAGTTCACATCGCACCGTATCTGTGTCTGTGTGCACGTTATCACACTGGGTACCCAGCGCAGTGTCGGTTTCATCGTTACCTAATGGCATAATTCTGTCAAGAGAGAGAGACGAAGGGATTTCAGCGTTCCCCTTTTTGAGACGATTTCAATATAGTTTAAACTTTTTCACTGCAATGACCGAAGAAGGCGATCCTGGAGCGACGACAGTGTGCCGCGGTTGTCGCATCCATAGCGGACTGTGGGCCGGGTCGTGACTGGCTGATTTTCCTTACTGACACGGCAGGCTGCCCTGCTTTGTACACACTCACGCACCTGTCCCGAGGTTGAGTAAATGTCTCGTCTCATTCAATTTGTGACTGTGCCGAGATGAGTCCGAGGATAAACTGCCCGAGCCGACTTGCGCTGCACGGATGTTAACTATTGAACATCGATTCATGTTTGTGCCATATATTCTATCTATCGTGTGATACAGTTATTGTTCTTCTGATTTATTACTTGCCTTGCATTGCTGAAAATAAAATCGTTTTTTTTTTTACTTTCGTCGTTTTGGTATCCCGGGTCACTCTTATAAATGCGACTCCTAAATCTTGGTTATCAAGAGTTATCACCTGGGTTACACAAAACAACCTAGACACTTGGATTGGGGGCTGCCTAAAGGTTTTTTTTTTTAAAGCCTGGAGAAGATCGCTTGATGATTCCTCCTCCCATCACGTGTGGACCTGCACGTGGTTAAATTTCCCCCCATTTCAATAATAATTTTATGGATAATTTATTTAGGTAACTTTAATTTTGAACCATGTTCTCTTTATATAAAAAGAAGCAGTGATTTCAATATTGAAAGGAAACAAAGCTGCAAATGCAATCCTTAAACAAAGTTAAGTCAATTAAAATATTTATTTAAAAAATGACACGTTTATTAGGTCACCTTTCCTGCCGACATTAAGAATATGTTCACGCTTTTATGGGGGTGGCGGGGGTGATGGAGTGGATAGGGGTAAGAAGATTCACTCCATGGGGCTGGTTGGAGCTTCTTCAGGACACTCAATTCACTCCTAGCACGTGGAGCGAAACGTCGGACGTCACGCCGAACAAGGCGCGGCGGCACAACCCGGACATGACACCGGAGAGCTATGACACCGCGTGCGCACCCTGGACAGGGCTTCTTGCACTTTAGAGCGCCTCCACAACCGCACGGGAGCAGCCCCTGGGACCAATCACTCCCGGTGCCAGCCCGGCCTGCGGAGTTGATATTTTTAGCCTCCGGCTGGCAATAATGCCACCGCTGGGAAACTGTTGAGCCAGACATCCACGAAGGGTGGGATAGGGAGGGGGGAGATGTTAACTACTGGACATCTGTGGAAAAGAACATTATAGCTAATCGGATTCCTCCAGTATAAATCAATACTCTCGATCCCGACCCTGACGCCTGCTGTATATTTGGAGTTTGTGTGTTCTTCCTCCCCCGCGGTCGCGTGGATTTTTCTCTGGGTTCTCCGCTTTTCCCCTCCGCATTTAGTATCAGCATCACACGTTTAAGAGTATTTGACTGCTATAAATGTCCACAGATAAACCACACGCGTCACATTTACTTAATGGCTGAGCCCTTGCGCTCAGCGTGTGCACTTATTAGCATTCCCAATACGCGTCGCCTGGATGCGTATTATCGATAATCTAACGTGGTTGTCGGATGGACTATGAGCATAATCGATACAATAGACACTTTGATTCAGGTTGCACAAGACCATATATTGGCAGAGAAGCGCCCCTACAGGCAACGCCACGCCCACTTTTTTTTCTGTAAATGAACGTCATTATGAAACAGCGTTATAAGAGGAAGCGTTATCTACGAGGTATGGCTGGCATGTCTATATTATGTTATTTTTCTGCGGTGTTTCCCGAAGAATACACTTCCCATTTAATTAATCCGGACTCACAGATGTCACTGATCAACTTCAAACTATCTTGGGAGTGCAGCCAATGTTAATTTACAAAACGGGGAATTGTTTTGTACCATATTGAATAAAAAAAACTTAATTTTACTTGCAACGGATTTATACACCCTTATTATCAGTTCTCATTTGAAACTGTAAATTAAGTTTATAAACATGTTCATGTATGCATATTTTAATGATTATGGTCGGAGTGGTAAAGTATTGGTTTTAAATATTGGTTTGACACTGCACTCACATTTTAGATTAAGTTTTACTTGCATGACGCAGTGAGCTTATAATAGCTAACTTGGCAACAGGCTAAACCAGGATATATTTCTCAGCCTGGATCTATTAATATAATTGTGCAGTTCATTGTAATAAGGTTCAGCACAATACATGCACCAGATCTGGGTACGATGTTTGTCTGCCACCCAAACACCGATACCAATTCCTCCCGGACAGGTGGCAACTTACTACACGTGTGCTTGGGATTCAACTTTAGCGAGAGTAGTAGAGAGGGGGGGGGACCTTCAAGGAGCTGACTTCTGTGGGCCCTGGTGGAGATGGGTCTCTAGCAGACATTCGTTTCATTAGCCGTGTCGAGTCTGCAGACCAATCTTTTTGGACTTCACGTCAATTGGCAAGATCGTGAAACGTCTCTGGAAAAGGTTCGCGATGGCTTTTCTCAACTCGGTGATGCGAAGTCCAAATATGATGACATTGACCGCCATCGGAACGAGGATTGAGAGCTCGATGACATAGTTCACGCTCTTATTCTCGGTGCCACCGCCGCTGGACCGAATTAACCTCCCTCGAACGATAATGGTTAACAGAGAAATGAAGTAAATCGAGGTCACTAGCAGCTGCGTTACGAGCGTCTCCTTGGCTTTCTTACTTAGCGCGGGCGAGCTTGGTTTTGTGAACTCTAGGCAGACCCTGATGAAAGTGTACATCAAAATCAGTGGAGGCAGCCCAATAAACATAACGATACACGCTGACAAAAGCATCCTGGTGCTGGTCGTATCAGAAACAGATAAGTTGACGATGTATATCGAGTAACAAAAAGCAGCGTCGATGCTCCTGTTGCCGTCCTTCATCTGCAAGCTCAGCGTGTACACAAGTATGGCCACGCAGGCGGCGACCGTGGAAAGCCAGGCCAGGATTATGATGTACACGGAGCGCTTCAGCGGGAGGATCGCGTGGTAGTGCAGAGGCTTACAGATGGCCAGGTATCGGTCGGTTGAGATGAACGACAGGGAGAGCGATTCGGCGATGACAAACATGTTGATGCAGAAGGCCTGGCCCATGCAGCCCACGTACGAAATATCGCTGCAGCCGCTCGCCAGGATTTGCAGCTGTTTGGGGATGATGGTCGCGCTGCCTACGATGTCCGCCACTGCCAGGTAGCACAGGAACATGTGCATCGGCTTGTGCAGCTCTGGGCTGAGCACCACCGCGATGAGAATGACGATGTTCGACACGAGGATGAAGAGGAAGCACAAATGCAGCGCGCTAAATATGAGCCAGCTTGCCTCGCGAGAGATGTCTAAAATGTTGAGCGCAATCGACGAAGACGACGAAGAGCTTCCGTTATCCATCACTCGGAGCTGTTTGTCGGCTGCGTTCGATACTAAATCTAGCAACACCGTCGACATTGCGGCTGTTCAATGTTAGTCGGCGTTAGTGTACCCTGCATTGCACACGATAAAGTTCACACGTTAAATAAAGTGCTATATACGGACTTTTAATATAAATGCTGCATATTATCGGTTGCTTTCATTTATTGCCAGGCGTTTACTCACATCAGAATCTTTGGGACCTTTCTTGGCGGCATCAAATTATAGGTTTCAAAGACAATGCACATATATATTACCGGAGAATGTTTTTGTTTGCATTTTCACCACAAGTACGTGTGGTTAATGCAGACCTGTTTCCTTGCAAAAGGTTGATAATGTGTGGTTGAACATCTTAACACTTATACTCTTTGGTTCTATTTGGTAAAGTCACGTAGGTAAAAAATAAAATAACAAAAATCACGACGTTTCGGCCACAATACAAGTGGCCTTCATCAGGTGAAGGGACCGTGCTGTCATGAAGGCCACTTGTGTTGTGGCCGAAACGTCGTGATTTTTGTTATTTTATTTTTTACCTACGTGACTTTATCGAATAGAACCAAAGAGTATGGATCCTTGCAGTCACGAAAGCTTCAAATCTAGAATCTTAACACCTATTTTATTGCCAGAAAGGGTAAAACCTATTCTTATACTTCTAATCAGCTGTTTTTCACAGATATCCAGTCGGGGTGGGTCAGAACGTTACAACAAATTATAGGAAAAAAACACGATAGGAGTGCAATGTATAGGAATGGTAAACAAATCACCGACAAAAAAAATATTACAAAAAATATCTTAACAGGTACAGCCCACTGAGCTATTAGCTTATTTATTTAGAAGCCACCTGGCCACAAATGACAGCTCAACGAAGTGGCTTATCAACCGGTCTAATGCAAAATAAATGCTGGACTTGGGTTTGGACGAAAATGTAATGTTTGTTAAACCTTAAAAGATCTAGCGTCACGTACCTCGCTCTCAGTCCCATCCAGCGGAGTGCCCCCGCGGTAGCGTGGACGAGTCTCTTTATATGCACGCGCGCGCGCCCCCGTGGGTGGGCGGGCGCGTTCGCGCGCGTGCCCGTGGGTTCGGCGCGTGCGTGCGCGACGCGGCCGCTCATGACAAAGGCAACTCGCGCGAGACTCGGCGCTCGGGGCTGTCATCTTAGGACGTCATTAGCGTCGGGCGGTCAGCGAGGGAGCACGCGGCAGACTTCCCCGCCCCTGTCCCGCGGCATCGACCCGTGTCGACGGACGCTTTGCTCGTTCGGCGGGTGTGGTAACGCACCAGCCCATCGGAGCCCTTGTCGTGTTGTGTGTGTGCTGGGTTTTTTTTGTGTGGGGAGCGGTGGCGTAGCGGTTAGCGCGCTTCGCTTACGAACCTGGCGACTCGATGTTCGATTCCCGCTCACGGCCAACACCGGTGACGATTGTCTGAACCGGGCCTGAGCCTCCCCTAGGTCGACTCAGCCTCAAATGTGTACCTGGTGCGATGTGTAAACATCGCCACTGGGGAGACAAAGGCGGCCGTACGTGGTGCTGGCCACCCATCCCGCTCGTGTGCCGTTCTGGCCTTCATAGGTGTTCGCTAACAGCACTTGCCCCAACAGTCTGTTACAGCCTATAGGGGGATATTTGTCTTTGTGTTTTTTGAAAGAGTAAACTTTATTTCATTCGTGTTGTCGTTGCAGATCTCAAACTTTGTTCAATGTTAGTACAACTACAGTATAATGTTTAGATGCGATTCGAAAGGACTGTGGCGCAGGACAGAAGGAGCGCAGAGAGACCGAGCGGGAGACGCGAGGATGAACAGAGGGCAAAACGATTTGGCGATGATGCTGCTGCTGGTGATGTTACGCTGGCAGTGGTGCACAAAGCACAGTAACTCAAAGACGTTTGTCAAATCATAATAGCACGTTAAACGCATCGTACCCCAAAAACATCACCTCTTATATTTGTTTTCCCATTAAGTCAAATGTATTAACATTTTAGGAGTTACAGGCGTCCTACTCAGCCCATTATAGTATGCATGTTGAACTTCTTTCATACCGTACGTAGCCAAGTAATGTATGTCATCTGTATATGTCGTGTGAGGCCACAGTGTTCTCGTCGATTAAAAGGGAGTTTTTATTGTATTTAAAAAGAAAAGGACAGCGGACGTGTGACTGGGGAAAAAAACAATAAACAAATGCAGCCTCCCCCAGGTAGCAAAAGTGTGGCCCGTGGCTCAGAAGAACATCGGCACGGACGACTGCTGCTGCAGGATTGAATTTTTTTTTTTAGATTATAACTCGATGCCGATTATTACATTTGTTCACACGCTCTGGTTTTACATTTTTCAACAAATTAGTGGTAATTGGCATCGCCTCGTACAGGTTTCCTTAGTGCTAGGATCTCTAATTACAGCCCAGGGGAGGAGGACAGGGACAGAAGGGATTGGGCTGGTCAAAGGACGGGGGGATGAAGGCAAAATAACTCTACGGTGTCATTTTTACAAAACGCTCGTTGCACATTCAAACCAAGCACTTTTTTGTATTCAGGTGCACCACGGTGGCGAGATGTTAAGTACCTCACCTGGTACACAGCAGGACGTGGGTTCGATCGCGACCCTGACGCTTGCTGTATATTTGCAGTTTGCGTGTCTCTCTCCCCATGGTCGTGGGGATTTTTCTCAGGCTCCGGTTTCCACCTCCACATTTTAGAAACATGTCTTTCGAGGATGTCTGCACTAAATTTCCACGTGATAAGCCACTTCGTTGAGCTGTCATTTGTGGCCAGGTCCCCTCTGGAAAATATCTGTATAGCTCAGTGGGCCTTACCTGGTAAAAATAAAAAAATAGAAAAATATTCACAGAAAACTTAACTTTATGTATGTATTGAGTATGCTGACACGCCCGGTTTTAATGTTTCAAGCCTATGTTCTTAAACGCAGTATTATAATATACGCGTGTGCAATACATGAGAAGGCGATGTTACACTACTGTGTATATGATCTCAGCATGATGTACACTATTCCAAGATTGCGATTCAAAATTGTGCAAATGCTGCATCCGGCGTGGTGGTGCTGCCGTAGAGTATCTGGCTGGCAGCTGGAAGCTTTCGCGTTCGAATCCTGGTCATGGCTTGACCCAGTGGTTGCACTTGTGCCACACAACAAGAAAAACCTGAGCTCGGTTCCTGACATAGCGCGGCCTTTCTGTGTCGAGTATGTACATTCTTCCTCCGTTTGGCATGGGTTTCCTCCAGGTTTTCTGGTTTATTTCCACAGCTAAAAACACAATGTCATTGCTGTTGTCTAAACACTCCAATGCAAAACCCTGCTGAAATAAAAGAGCCATTTTTCACTCACCTGTAAAAAAGTTATTTTAAATATCGCACTTGGGTCCACAAAACAAACACCACTCTGTGGGGAAGCCAACAGTGGTTGTCCTATGGAGAAACTACCCCCTGAAATATGCATGTGGAATTTCCACAGCTGGCTCAGGGCTGTAAACTTGGTGAGCAACTGCCTCACGGTCAAGTTAATTATGACTTGGTACATATATAGCAGGGTCAAAATGTTATATAGTGACACAAACCTTTTGTAAAGTGTCATGCTCGGTAATATTCAACGGTCCGTAATATTAATTTGTTGCAACAGAATATTCATTTCTTAAAAAATATATATGTTTTGTTATTATTCAAGAACCCAGAATACAAAGTAGACTTCGGAAAGGGGCGAAAAACCCCAACAGCTTATGTGTAACGAACCCAAAGCGATATATGTTGCCAGTTTATAACTTGCAGGGTTTTCGCGACCAATATCGGCAACGGTGCATTTTAGGCACAACAATGGAAACATCGGACAAAAGCCACGTACGTATTTATTTATGTATTTACGTATATTTTTTTCCACTGCAGAACAAACAATCAGCAATAGCATCGCATAATCGCCACCATGCTCACACCAAACACTTGGAAATCTCTGCTCACACGAAACACATCGAGCTCAAAGCTAAATCAGAGGCTGCAGGGTGGCAAAGTTGTGCACTATAATTTAATAGCACTGACGAATTAAAAAAACATTAAATTGAACCAACGAATCTAAATATGGCTTCTTTTTACCTTATAAAAGTTTTAAACACCTTCCATTTTCAATTTATTGATTTACATCCAGTTTTCCAAAACGACAAGGTGATTAACACTCACAAATGAAATTCAATAAATGTGTCCATGAGGTCCCCAACTTAGTTTTTTTTTTACCTAAAGCATCGCAAAACGGTCAATTACACAACGCTTGAAATAACTTCGATAATGAATAGACACGACCATATCAACCCACCACACACCACAAAACACCATAATGCTCAATCTATCTGCAGATGGAATCGAGGGCACAATTGTTGTATTCCCTGAAACCCATGCCAAAATAGCCACAACGCACCTCCGAATAGCACGATCGGCTATGTATGGTGCGCAAAGTAAGTTCAATGTACGTATTTTCAACGAATATATGTGTTTAATGACTACTTTAGCTTTAAATTTTATTGTATATGAAATTATAATTCGCCAATAAGTCAACAATCAATCAACATTGCTTTAAGTATAACAAATACAGTTGTTCCTCGATTCACGTTTTTAATCCATTCTACGAAAACTACTGTTAACCAAAATAACTGTTAATGGAACATAGGAATTACATTTCTGCCAAACCAGAAAACGTAAAAAAAAAGCCAAACTCTTTGGTTCTTTCGGAAAAAGTCACATAGGTAGAAAAATAAGAGATCACGCGTTTCAATCGCAACACAAGCAATCGTCATCAGGTGGGACAACCACAGCAAGAAAAGACTGCTGAAGTAGGCGAGAGATCTGCTATGGCACGAGGTTATATAGTAGGCCTCGGCAATAGGGGGGGGGAGCAGGCGAGGCAGAAAGTGGACCCCGCAGCAGCACCCGGGTCACTGGAGTAAAGTGCACCACCGCAGCAGCACTGGAGAGGTCGGCTGCATGGGGGGAGAACGAAGGGGGGGGGGGGGAAGCAGTGGGCTCACAGGAAATTGACTTTTTCAAGACGAAGGTACACTGCAAACCCACCGGCTATTAGAGATTTGTTCACGAAGTCATCCAGATATATAAACACAGACACAACTTCAACCGAGAAAATGGGAACAAACTAAGCAATAATTGGAAGGACGTTATTAACCAGGTAAAGTCTTAACTGACTCTTGATTTAAACCTTTCGTGACTGCAGTAATCTATACTCTTTGGTTCTTTCGGTAAAGTCACGTAGGTAGAAATAAAATAAAATTAAACAACT